GACAACGAGCATTCTTTGTTTGTTCGTCCTTGCGACCCTCTCTCCCGCTGTAGGTGGGGCTAGAGTTGTGACAACGAGCATTCTTTGTTTGTTCGTCCTTGCGACCCTCTCTCCCGCTGTAGGTGGGGCTAGAGTTGTGGCAACGAGCATTCTTTGTTTGTTCGTCCTTGCGACCCTCTCTCCTGCCATTAGGTGGGGCTAGAGTTGTGACAACGAGCATTCTTTGTTTGTTCGTCCTTGCGACCCTCTCTCCTGCCATTAGGTGGGGCTAGAGTTGTGACAACGAGCATTCTTTGTTTGTTCGTCCTTGCGACCCTCTCTCCTGTCGTAGGTGGGGCTAGAGTTGTGACAACGAGCATTCTTTGTCTGTTCGTCCTTGCGACCCTCTCTCCTGCTGTAGGTGGGGCTACAGTTAAGACAGCGAGCATTCTTTTACTGTTGATTCTTTTGACCCTCTCTTCTTCCACACGTGGTGTAAGGCTTCTGACGATGGGTGCTGTTAGTTTGGCCTTATTATCAGTTACTTGTCCTTCTCAACTTTTTTTTAAAATTATTTATCCCTTTTTTGTTTTGTTTCAACTAGGGTAACTGTCTCAGAGCTGTTTTAATAAATTCCTAAATAACTTTCTTTTTTAATTGGAAGACATGGTTATAATTTTACTGCTGATGTGTGTACAATTGTCTTTATTTTTTATGCTATTTTGCAATGATTTTTGTGCAAGTTGCAGATGTAGTGTGGATTGCAGATACTGATTCATGGTTTATGCGGTACATTTATGTAAATTTTTTTAATCTTCACTAGAAATTTCATGTTTCAATTATAACTGTATTTAATGCGGTTAAAGTTGCTCAACCAAGAAGTAAAATGTTCTAGCCCTTATTCAGTATGTGTATGTTTAGAAATGAAAAAAATAAAGAGCAGTTATTGAAGAGCTCTGTTTTAAGGAAAAAGCTTTAACATACAGACAAGAAGAGAAATGCAATTTCAACCATGTTTTCAGAAAATATAACCAAATTTGGGAAAAGTTGATGTAATTAAACCTCTCTACATGCCCGTGATGGATGATGTTGATAGCAACATTCCATTCATTCTTAGGGAGAGAATTTTATTATTATTATTATTATTATTTTAAACAAAAAAACACTTGTCTGTTGTAATTATATTTTACACCTCTTTCAGCTGGATTTAGTAGGTTTTCTTTAATATTCATCTAATGGTTCTTTTTTTCCTTGTTTTTAGATTTAAGTGTTTAAGGTTTTTTGTGGAAGCATCAACTGCAGAACAAACTTATCGGGTTGTAAAGGAAAGGTATCTTAAGGTTGCCAATAGTCACGATGAAGTGTTATATCTGCATGTTCTAGGTAAATGCATTCTTTTCGTCCATCTTACATAATAGTGTTACACAACTGTTAAAAAATTCTTAATTAAAACATTCCAGTTTTGGCGGAGCGCGAGTTCACCGTTGTCAAAACCTATTAAACCGCCTGATGTATTATATTTAAGTTGGACTGAATAGGATTCACAAAAGGTACATCTAGCGAAGGCTTAGTGACGTTCTTTTTTCATTACCATTGTAGTTGTTGTTATTCTTGGTTGGCAAGCGAGAGATAAGGCTGTGTGTTATTAATTTTTACCGTATATACTCGAATCAGCGCCGCAATTTCCAAGCAACCCTGCGGCGCTTATTTGAATACCGATTTTTTTTTTCTGCTGGCTGGTAAACATGGAAAAGGCCGCTCTGCTGGCTGGGAGAATAGCCATCTAACCTGCTGGGAGTGAGGAACAGATAAATTCTTTCCAGCAACACAGAAAAGCGCTTGAAAATGCCTTAAAAGCGTCTAAAATTTCGTTTTCTGTAGTTAACGGCTCATTTTCAGAAAAATATTCGTTGGGTGCCCCTGAATGTTAAAAATTGAACCCAACATCTACCATTGGGTCTTTTTTACATCATTTTCTTTTTTCTCAAATCAGTCACTAAAAAGGCTGGATTACATCAACAGTAATAACATAACAAATTTCACAAAATATTACTAAATTAATTGCAATGCTATAATTTAATAGACAAAAATAGAAAAAAATCCTGTTTATAGGAAAAGAGCAAATTTTGAAAAACATGGCTGTGAAAACTCGGTTGCCATGGCAGTGTCAATGCTGACATACACGTCACGACGACTTCAAAATGTTTCCAGATAAATTTGTAGGAAAAGCTGCTAAGTTTTGTGGTCATAGCTTAAATGGATTCGAAGTTATTCAATTTTCTTTGCGACGGGGGCTCCAAACACCACCCCCAGGTCTGAATACGGTTAAGGTGCATGTCACTTAATCGCGGCAGGATTAGCTCAGTCGGTAGAGCGTTCAACTGCAGAGCGGGAGGTCGCGGGTTCGATTCCCAGGACCGGACCAATACTCAGGGTCTTAAAATAGCTGAAGAATGAAGGTGCTTCTTTTGCCCTGCAAACGGCTGGACCTTTGCGTGGCTCGGATGGATACTTAACATATATATTTAGCGGTCGCGTCTCCACAAGGAGACGTAAAAACACTTCCGAGTTTCAAAACCCGCGCTTTCAAAATGAGGCCAAGTACACAACCTTTCTTGCGAAAATTAGTTTTATTTGCATGAGAATGAAAAATCATTTCCGTATCAAAGGCTGAGCACTTAACCTCGTTTTGATACAGAAGCCCGGGGGAACTCGGAAATAATAAAACAAAAGAGGAATTTGAAAGGCTGATTTTACAGTCGGAAATATATATATTTTTTACCAACATTTCGGAAGGCAGGCCCAGCCTCGCTTCTTTTGTTTGATACTTTCACTTATTGCTGATTAGATCCTATATTAGTATCCGGTCCTTCTTTTTTGTAAGCTAGTCCTTGCTTCAGAAACCATCCCGTGGTAATCTTCTCACACAGTGACAATTACCTCTCTTCTCTTTCAATTGCTTGCCCCTCCCAATGACTCCCCCACCCCCTCCTCCCAAAGCGTAGTCTCACTTTTCAGCGTAAGACAGAGTGAGATCTGGATACGAGATTACCCAAAGCCCTTTTAAACACAATGCCTTTCTCTCCAAAATATCTTCTACGATTAGCTCGCTTACACTTTCCACAGGCTTTCGTGCAGTGAGGGTGATAACATTTTTAAAATCCCCCAGAGTTTTGGGTTATGAAATTTTTCTTTGAAAAGCTTTTGGCCAGGTCGGCCTATGATGACAAATTCCCCACCATGCGAACTCATAAGTCAGATCTTTACCTTTGATTTTCTTTTTTGCACCATATTTGCCCGAGAAAATTTGATGTAAATCACGAATTTTTCGTTAAGTGTATAGTAAGAAAAGAAAGAGGATTTGCTCGCGATTCTGTGAAACAACATTACCGTTTTTGGTATGCGGTCAACACAAAGTGACAGAGCCTAACGTATGTGTTATAGCTAGAGGCGTCCGTATTTTAGAGGTTAGGTCTCAATAGTATCGCTTTGTTAAAAAACCTAATCTCTTTTTTAGGCCGTTAAAGAGGAGTTCATCTTAATTCTAAATCTGTATGTACTGGATAATAATGAACCAAGAGAAAGTATCTTTCCTTTGAAAGGAAAAACGCCTCAATTAATACTTAAAGAAAACAAAAAAACGTATTCTACCTTTTTTATCATTTTAATTTTAAACTAAAAAAAGGCTGCAAAAACACACTCCACCTTTTTCTCAAACAAAATTGTTTATTAGTTCTTTTTTAGCTTAACCTTATCTAACACACTCGGTTTAAGACCATTTTCCTCGTCACAAAGTCGCCTTTGAGCGATCACTTCTTTCCCCAACCGCGGAACCTTGGACGTGGGAATCGGGGGAACCTTGGCCGTGGAATTCTGGGGAACCTTGGCCGTGGAATTCTGGGGAACCTCGGACGTGGGATTCTGGGAAACCTTGGACGTGGGATTCTGGGAAACCTTGGACGTGGTATTCTAGGGAACCTTGGACGTGGAATTCTGGGGAACCTAGGTTGGACGTGGAATTCTCGGGAACCTTGGGCGCCACGCCTTTGCGTCCTGCTGACGATCTATATCCCTGAGGAAGATTAAGCAGAAGGCAAAAGAATAAGTAAAACGCTAAGAAATTATTCAGCTCCTAGAACGGTTTAATTGGTTATTTACAATGTATTGTTTTCTTTCTTCTGACCAAAACTGAATGCAGGGCTGGCACAACGGCAAAGAGCTGATTTATTATAGGCTAATATTTTGGCTAACGTTTTTTGGGATGTCACTAGGACCTGACCGCGATTTCTTTTATTATTGGCAGATTTTATCTTTTGTTGTCCCCTGAGGAACCACATGACATTGTCTTTTTCCTACCACGCGTTAAGCACGAGCAAAGATGGCAGTTATCGCGAATAAGGTCTATTCGAAATACATAAATTTGGCGAGGTTACTTAAAACGGAATTGCGCATGTCATTTGATATAATTCCCCAGTCTTCTTGCTGAAATTTACTGGGTCGTGAAAGCCTCCTCTATACTCAACGGAGTTCCCTTAGAAAAATTTAAATCAATAACAAATTTATTTCGTGAAAAAACAAAAACATAAATAGAACCATTTGGAACTTCTAAAGAAATTTCATTTACATGCCGCATCGGGAGTTTTATCCACAAAGATTCAAAGTTAAAACTTCGGCCTATCAACGTACTGAGAACGAAAAGGGCTAAAAATTTACCTTTCAGGATCTTCCTCGTCATCATAGTCTTCATCGTTAACGGAGTCTTCGCTTTCTAAATCGTCTTCACCTTCTAGATCGTCTTCGTCTTCTTCGTCTTCTTCGTCTTCTTCGCCTTCTTCTTCTTCATCTGCAGCTTCGTCTTCTTCATCATCGCCAAGGGCGTTGTCTTCACGCAGATCATCTTCAAATCTCTCATCACTTACATCGACAGCCTCGTCCTTGGCCTGCGCCTCATCAGTTGTTGCAGCGTTAGTAACAGTCCCAACTAAGAAGGCCAACAGGGAAATCAGAACAAGAGTCTTCATGGCCGTTTCTCTGTGCTCAGAACTGATCTAAGCGGTGAGAATAGCTGTGCAACTCTGAAAACTTTTTACTAATCCGGCCCTTTATAAAAAGGAGAGCTCTTGAGTAAATTCTTTGAAACACCTACTGTGCCTTCATTTAGGACTCAAAGTGAAGAGGGCATCAAGTACGTTAATAACTGGAATGCAATATACTAACGGAGAATTGCTGGCTTGAACACGCTTGCCCGAGCAGTGGGTAGTTGATGGTCACGTACCGACAAAAGGCTTTCATTGCATCAGAATAGTTTCAAAAAACAGTTGGTCGAAACTTATTCTAGTTATGTCAGTGGGTTAATGGGTATCGAATACCTGTAAAGCTTTTACTAGCATTATAACTCTTACAAACTTTCTTTAACTTCCATGAGCAAAAAAGAATGTTGAGCTAAAAATGAAATGTTTAAAGTTCCGGTTACATAATCAAAATAATTGCTTCTGTTAATAGATCCATGGGCCTTAGAGTTCTATACCGTATGACTTCGTTCGCCTGGGTAACAGTATTTATTTATCTATAAGTTATTTGTTTTAGAGTAATTGACCCACACGTAGGCACAAAAACTGATGATTTCGTCTCCAGGATATAAACCTTTCATCGTATGCATGCATGCTAAGTTGCTGCAAAGATTTCAATAGTGACATGTAAGAAAGTGTGAAAACACATGAATTAATTATGGACAACTTCTTAGCCAAGAGATCAGTATTACTATATATCGGTTTTTTCAGTCTGGAAATAAACTGCTGCTGATTGTGAGGCCATGATAGATTCTTCAAATTTCCTGTCACTACACCTTTTGAAAGTTATATTAGCATTTTGTAAGCTGTTACGTTGTTGTTGTAGACTGCGAGCAGTCGCTCTTTTTCTTCAGATTTAGTGAGAGCAATGCACGCGCGCGGGAGCGGCGAAGCCGCGAGACGCGCGAAACAAGGGCGGCAGCCCGAGAAGTAGCATAAACTGGAGACTTAAGAAGTAGCATAGACTGGAAGACTTTTAGACTGTTTATTTCATAAAGCTAAAACAATAGTAATTACCAACGGATGCACTACAGGACATCGCGCTATAGAGCAAAGATTCTCAAGAAAGAAAGAAAAAATAAAAAAACAAATCGGCGCCCAAAGAATGATCTTGAGTGACTTGCAGCGTTGGCTTAGCTTTAGTTAAGCTACAATTAGGATATGTAGAACACTGTCCCGTGAAAATTCAACATCGTGCAAACAAGAACTAGGCCACGGGTGATCTCATTCAAAACATAAAGCACAGGAAATGAATTATTAATAGAATAAGAGAAACAGACCAGCTTCATGACCTTTAAATGTGAGACCAGCGGCCAAAATTAAGATTTGCCCAGTCAATTAGCTTGGACTCGACTCTAACTCTATGCACTGCATAAGCTGCGCTTTAAAAAGAAAAGTAGAAAAACCTCTGTTGTTCAAGCAAACTCGAAAGTCACGTTTTACGTGCCTGGTCTGTCAACACTTCAGTTCTGACGCCAAAAAATCACTAGACCGTGAAAGACCATTCTCTCTGGCTTTGCGGGTAGTCTCTCTTTTTTCGTGCCTCTCCCGTCTTGCGCCATCAGTCACGCGCGTGGCCATTTGCGTGTCTCACGTTTTGCTCGATGGACTACAGAAAAAAGAGAGACTGCTCGTAGTCTATTGTTGTTGTTGTACTAGTCGTTGGTCAAGCCAATACCTCAGTAACCTGATCAGGCCCAATTTGAGCGGTTCTCATACATTCTCTCTAGCGGTTACCGCGGAAATTGGGCCTCTCTTTTCGTTTCGCCATGCCCGCCGGAATGTTGTTTACAAATCCAAACGAAAATAGAACCTCAAGGGGGGAATTTCATATATCCCATGATGCTTCACAGCAAATTTCTGTTTTCTCTCCGCGGTGGAAAGAGCGTTCGAGGGTTTCGAGGGAGATTTTCAACGACCTGAATTTCAAGATGCAGCTCATCCAAGGTAAGTTTCAATGAGCCGTGATAATCTTTGGTATCTGATTAATAATGTAAAATGTTTCCATGGTCATTTCATGCATTATTGCTCTCGTTTACGACCCTGTTAAGCCATGCTGTTTTAACTCGCAAGTGAATATTTATTTAGATGCCTTTTAATTATCGAAAACTGTCTTTATTCTAGCAAGGTTTTGCCCTAATAAATTATTTAAATCGGCGGACAAGGGGTGCTTGATACTAGTTCCACGCTCCGACCTCTTTCGAACCTCACGATTTTTATGGGTTTGATCGTTTTGAAATATCGCATTTTCTGCCCTTTCTCCGCCAAGATGCAAGACGAAGGTCTCAATTTGTTTATGCTAAGTCCTCCGAAGATGGGACATTTTTTCTTGAATTCGCTCATTTTTCGCTCATCAAAACACAAATATTATCTCTTGAGGGTATGATAAATGTTTAATTTCAATGGTTTATAGTTATTAAAGCTTTTTTGTCTCATTATTTTAGGTAAAATTGGTTTCTCATGGTGGCTTCCGGTCGCAACCGTGCGTGGCGTAAATGTCATGGAATAGAGGGGGGCGTAAGGGTTTGCGGTATTGCGGTATTGGGTCACTTTTGGTGCGGTGTTTATTTCAAAGTACGGTATTGCGGTTTTCAGAGTCCAAGCGGTTTGCGGTAAGTTTAAATTTTACGCCGCGGTAGTCGGTGAAAAAATCGTTGTGTCGCGGTGATCTGCTTCTTTTTCATGACAAGAGGATACAAATCCTAAAAGGTCTCCCTGGCTAGCCTGCGTGACCTGTGTGCACAGTCGGGGATTGTATTGCGCAAACAATGCAGACAAATCGTATGGCTTCTAATTTCAGTTAATACTTGATATGATTAACGACATTAACTTTTTCATCCAATGATACGTAAACATGTCGCATTATTTATGACTTCATGGACCTTGTGGGTATAGTCAGCTTGGTTAACCTCCTTTATACCAATGTTACTACCACTTTCGTGCAAGTCACCAAACAGTAGAGAGCGATCCAGAGGGTCAACTAAGTGATCAGTCAGATATTCCAGCAAATAGTGAGGTCAGTGAGATCGTTATAAATTGCGTAGTGTCGAAAGATAATCTATGAGGATGGTGTGGTCTAAAAATTACTACTTGTCCTTCTCGTTGTGCATGCAGGAATATAGAATGTACTAGTATCCATGTGTGCTTACCCTACGTAGCATTGTAGCCCGGAGGTGGTGGTGGTGAGGGGGGGTGACTTCCTGATAAGAGGCTAATGAAGATGTGCCGCTGGATGGGGTCGCATTTTCACGACTCGATTGACTATAATGGGGTCGCATTTTCAGAGAGTTTTTTAGAATGGGTCGCACATTTTCTGCTTTTTGGGGTAAGACAGTTCTTCATATTTACGGTTAGCAAAGGTATCAGAATGTTTGTATTGTAGATGAAAAGTAAAGTGTTCTTCATTCAATCTAAAAGAAGGTCAATTCATAAAAATAGAAAGTGACGAAGTTGGGATCGAGAAAATTAAATATTTGTTAAAATGACTAAGATGGGGTCTATAATTGGCCACAGAATAGACTGTAATGGGGTAGGGGCTCTGAGAGGCCAGCGGCACATACCAACCAAATATTAACCCAAGTACCCCCCCCCCCCCCCCGGGCATGGCAGTTTTACATGGTTTTGTCGGCAGCACCACTGTGAGCGGCGAAGCAGCTCCCGCCCCAATCTCCTCGCTCGCGCCCGCCTTATTTCGACTTATTATTTAGCGCGCCTAACCAAAACCGCCATGCTACGCAGGCTAGTGTGTACTGTGTGCCCTTCGAATCCAAAAGGCAGCCCGGGCGGTCGTTTTGAAACCCTCAACACAGAACCGAGTTAATTGTGAATCTGAAACAACCTTATAAGAGTCAACTGTTTTCCATCCGTTTATGATCCAGGTCAATAATATATAAAGTGATACTAGAAAACTCCTGTTGTATCATTTAGTAAACGTATACAAGTAATAAACAAAGCTAAACGAGTGCGATGATCTTATGTTTATCGTACACTTGACATCGACGCACCTTGATTTGGAAACTCTGACATAAAAGTATTATTTCTATTTCAAACGAGGATTTGTAGTATTGACAACGTCAACTTTTTCCCATTTGTAACTGCGGTTTCGGTATTTGGCTAAATTTTGATGCGGTATTGCGGTATTCTCGCGCTACCACGTGCGGTATTGCGGTATTCGTACCCCCCTTACGCCCCCCTCTGGAATAGCACGCCGTAGGACCTCAACCGGCGTATAAAACCTTTTAAGACATTTTGATAATTCTTTTAGGATCCATTGAAGTGAAGAAGTGGGTGTTTTTGTATTTGTATTTGGCATTTCTTAATAAAGCTTTTTTCTGTTTATGTTTGACAATGATGCTTAGCTGGTGTTGTGTTACGAAAAATATAGAGATGTCTTTGTTATTTTTATTGTTTGTTGGAGCTATTCCCCGCCTTTCAATTTTATCTCCAATAGACGCCACTTTGCACTTTAACGGTCTCGGTATTTTCGACGACCTATTAAAGCCGAGATTGTTGACGTAAAAGCATGTGCGGTCACCGTACGGTTGATGTACTGCATCGATGAATTATTGAACTGACAATATGAATACCGCGATCACCAACAAGCAACGAAGAGAAATCTCACACCTAGAATATTATTTATTTCAAGACAAGTACGTGGAAATCGCTTGTTAATCCATAGAGAGAGCTTTATCGACAAACGTTAAAACAGGACGTACTGAAGCAAAGACCTTCCTCGCTAGCTTCTCAGATTAGAACATTTGTGTGAACTGCGTTGCTATCGTAAGGCTAGTTAACTCATAATCGGCGGCCAAAACACTCTCTTTGACTTGACAAGAGATATATTTGGAATAGTAAAACGAAAATCGTAAATAGATCGACACAGCAAAGGTACAGAAAGTTTTATCGGCAAAACAAGTCGCCTTCCACTGCTGTTCAACTGTCACGTCCTTGTT